AGCCCCTGTCACGAGATGGAGAAAAACAATATATATTTGTCAATGAACAGAACAAAGTTCAAGGCAGATCATTTAATTGGCCAACAATTTTACACCATCAATTATGCGAAATTCAGAGAGTCAAATAATACACATCAATAGAGATTTTTGCATGCCACCAGAATCATCATTACATGGCCTCAATTCATATGTGCCGATTGCCGAAACCAAAATTTATCTCGACACAAATAAATATTTCATCAATTGATCCAATTGTTCTTCATAAGATTCAATACTATACATAACAAATTATTATTCACATCACATGCTCTGATACCACATGTAAGTTTCATCACGGATCTTGAATAAATAATTTGGTATATATGAAACACTTACTTGATGGGAAGACGACATAATTTGTGATCTTGATCTTGATGATCACACGGGGTTGAATCGATTGGTAATTCTAAATTAGTTTCTCCCTCATGACCTTGTCTTAACGTAGTAGAAAACTGATGGGATAATAATTGCGTACCCTAATTGGAGGAGAGGGGGTGACTTTAGATCTGGTACGTCCATCAAATATCCAGATTAATGGCCTAGATTTGTTTGACCATTAATTAAAGATCTAGGCCAATAGGATAATTAGTTGTGAGCCCAATACTTTCGGGCCACATATTCTTACATGGCTTTGTAAAACTAAAAATGCCTAGCTTATTAGAAAGGAAAGGCTAAGTGAGAAGGAATTGGTAGAGGGTGCTAGAGCTGAGTGGTTGGAGTTTTCATAGGCTAAGGTTAAAGGAAGCTCTAGGGGTTCTTCAGGGGAGTGTTTTTCTAAGAGGATAGGTCAGTGGTCTCTCACTTCCAGTGCTCTATACTCTTCCAAGGACCAACTGCAGTTGGCTTGTGTGGCAGAAAATGAAGGTGAAGCTCTTCAGACTTTGAAGGAGACCATCTGGTTTGCAGGTTGTGAAGAATTAAGGTGGCTGGTGGCAGTTAGATGGACTCTTTTGAAGGCTTTGCAAGTTAGTTGGCTCAACATTTGCTGCAGGATGAACAACAAAGCTTTGATGCTCAAGATGAACAAGAAGTTGTAGTTTGGGCCTTGTTGCAACATTGTTGCTAAAGATGTGTACTCTTTGTTGTGTTCCTTTCCTTCTTATGTGTTTGAAGTTGGTGTTTATAGTGTTAGTTGTCCCGTTTGAGTTTTGTTGGCTTGTTAGATGCTAAGGGGATTCCTATGTGGCTTTCTCATGTTGATTGTTAGCAACCATTCGGTTGCTCGATTTGTACTTCTCTTGAGTTTTTATTGAAGTTTATTTAC